TGAACAATGCAAATGACAAGTCTCGGTTAGCCTAACGCAGTACATGTAGCAAGGTATTTATATTATATATATGTATATATATATATATATACACACACACACAAAGAAAAACAATTAGATAGAATAGAAAAAATAGAAAGCTAGTGTTAGTTTTTTTTTTTAATAAAAAAGAAGATAAATAGATAAAGTAGAATTAAAATAGAATAGAAAGTGCTAGAGTTAGAGTTAGAACTCTTAGTTAGAGTTAGTTAAATTATTTAAATTTAATACATTTAATAAAAAATATTGTTCACGTTAGTTCCAGGGTTATTATATTTAACTAAAACTAAAACCATAAAAAAAGTTAACTGAAATAAAATAAACCAAAAAACTTAAACTTATTTCAGCTAGTTGCCAAGGCAACATTTCTCATTTTCATTTAGTTTAACTTGATGTACTAAAATAACTAAAACTGAAATAAAAATTAATAAAAATGACAAAAACAAACAACAAAAGTACTTAAACTTTAACAAAAATTAAAATGAAAACAGAAAAATAAAATCTAATTAAAACAAATAAACTATAATAGCATCAATGATTCTAAAATAACAGATTCACAGTGCAAACTAATATCAACTTTTGATTTTAAAAATGCTATTAAATGCTGAAATTAACATTAACAAATTAATAAATGTTGTAGAAGTATCGTTCATTGTTAGTTTGGTAACTAATGTAGTTAACGAATGCTGAACAAAAGAAAGCTTATAGTAAAGTGTTAGCAAAACAATTCTTGCCACTTTTGTATTCCCACTGTTTTTAAATCATTAATACAGATATAAAATATGATTTGTTATTATTAATAATATTATTATTATTAAATTAAAATATACACTACTGTTCAAAAGTTTGGGATCAGTACGATTTTTAATGTGTTTTAAAGAAGTCTCTTCTGCTCATCAAGGCTGCATTTATTTGACCAAAAAAACAGTAATATTGTGAAATATTATTACCGTCTAAAATAATGGTTTTCTATTTTAATATACTTTAAAATATAATTTATTTCTGTGATGCAATGCTGAATTTTCAGCATCATTACTTTTGAACTTACCCAAACTTTTGAAAGGCAGTGTATAAACAAAATAAACTGCAATACTGTAAAATAAATAATCATGTATTTAATAAAAAAAATACTAGTAAGGCTGTAGATTGAAGCGCGGCACTGTGTTCATTTACACGCACATTAAACAAACTGAGCTGCTAAAAAACAGCGTATCATGAGCTGCTCGTGTGTAAATGAACACATCACCGCGCTTCACTCTGAAACCAGCAGCAGATATTTTTATTCACATAAAATGCAGCCTCAGCAATCTGACCATCATTGCAATATCAGTTTCATTTTGATTTCTTGTTCAGCCCTGCTGAAGACTCACCTGGTGAGCCCTGCAGATCAGATCCAGGTCGTGTTTGTGAAGGAACTTGGCCACCACTTCCGCTCCGAAGGTGAAGGACACGCCTCGGTCGTTCTCGCCCCATCCCAGCACGTCCTTATCTGGGTCGGACCACAGCAGGTCGCACAGGAGGCCCTGGTCCGGGACATCTGTGGGTCTCATGATCCTTCTGATCTGCTCCATGGACTGCAGATCAGGAGACAAGCCTGAGGAACAGCAGAAACAGCTGGAGATTCCTAGAAAGTTCCTAGTTTCTTAAAGGCACAATATGTAATTTTTTGGCCACTAGAGGGCACGTATTCAAAACAAACAACGAGACAAAGGCGTAGTTTGATGAGGCTGTGACTGAGTGTGGAATCATGGGAGTTGTGGTCTTCATCCCCACAGCCGATGCAATCCGACGGGACTCGGGCAGAAATCATGTTCATGGATGAGCTAATGATTTATTAACGTAGTAGAATGAAGCAGGGTGAGGCTGAAAGCAGTCGAAGCAAAACGAGGCGCTGAACGAGCGCGACACACGGCTGGAAAGCAGCGGAGCTTTTATTATGCCACAGTCGACCGCTTCCGCTCCTTCCGGCCGTGCGTATATGGGTTAAAGCAGGGCTGTTTTATCATACTAGATACATTTGAAAGTTCTGTTATAATGCTACTCTGTGCGGTCGTCACCGGTCTATTAAAACGCACAACATATTAAAGCGTCTTTGGTGTTTCCATGTTTTCTACAAAACAAAACCGGAAATCGAGGGGTTAGGACGTCATTGGCAGGCGACACAATGACACTATGCATACGGTCCGTGTAACTAGTTAAAATTGCTTATTTCTCTGGATTTAAACATTCTTCGAAACATTTGGGATAATGCAAGTACACAAGTCATCAAAATATGTAACACTGTTCTAGTGGTTTTTGGATATTTTAATAAAAAAATCGTACATATTGTGCCTTTAAGAAAAGACGCCGCATCTGTTCAGGGATCATACGCGATACTCTACACGCCTGGGATTCGACTCGGCACTCAGAAATGTGGGAGATGATGTCAGTGCAAATCATGAACTGATGAAGTAAGATGATTTACACCCTAAACATTTCAACAACACATCCTGCAGAGTAAGAGCTACGCTGAGCGGAGAGTCTCAGAGCGACAGTAAACAGAAAGCAGATGTTCAGGCTTCTCGTTTTACATGCATCAGCTTCATCAGAGAAAGATCATCTGATTGAGGAATGATGCAACTAACTTAAATAATTTCAGTGGTATTTCTTTCTCATGAAGCATTAGGAGGTTTGATTCACTTTAGCGATCCAGTTCAAATGGACATTCATGTTAATGACTGGGAGAAAGAAACACTTTATGATTTAAAGTGTAATATTTTGTAACAAAAATATTTCATTAAATACTGTTTTTAATTCAGTTACGTACGTTTTTTTTCTCCAACAGATTATTAAGATTATATAATTTATAAAATCAATTACACGTTTATTTTTAATAAAGGATGCAATAAATTGATCAAAAGTGACATTAAAGACAAGTATAATGTTGCAAAAGATTTCTATTTCAAATAAACGCTGTTCTTTTGAACTTTCTGTTCATCTGTGAATCCTGAAAAATAAAATGCATCACGGTTTCCACAAAAATATTGTACAGCACAACTGTTTTCATCATTGATAATAATCAGAAACGTTTCTTGAGCAGCAAATCAGCATATTAGAATGATTTCTGAAGATCATGTGACACTGAAGACTGGAGTAATGATGCTGAAAATACAGCTTTGATCACTGGAATAAATTACAGTTTAACCGATATTCACATAGAAAACAGCTGTTTTAAATTATAATAATATTTTATCATTTTTACTGTATTTTTGATCAAATCAATGCATCCTTGATGAGCAGAAGAGACTTCTTTCAAAAACATTTTTATACTTTTGAACAATAGTGTGCATTGGAGTATTAATGGACTTAAAGGTCCCATATTTTACACCTTTCTGGAGTTTTATTTTAGGTTTTGATGTCCTTAA